TCCATCTCTTCCCAGTTACACTGTTCCTGAACTGCCCATCCCGTGTTCCTCCATGTTCTGTTAACTCCTCCTACTTCATGCATCCCATGTTCAAAAATGGCGGCTATCTCTGCCCTTGGGGTGTGTCAGTTAATATTTGATAAGCTTATTAAGCAAGCTCAATGGAGAAAAGCCTTTGCTCTGTTGAGGCGCTGTCCCTGAAGGGTTGCAACCAGTTTAGCCCCCAGGGCTCTTTCTTAAGGAACGAGTTGTTTTCAGAATGAGGCACTTTCTGATTGGTTGAGGGCACAAGATCTTGGAAGTCCTCAGAATCCCCTTGTTCTGTTGTGGAAGCCTGACTCCTAATCCTTTCTCACAAGGAGAAGGTGAACAACTGCTTAAGTAGGAGATATATGTTATTTCCAGCCTTTTATAGATTTAGTAGCCAGTTACCTTTAAACAGAAAGTTCAGTTCTTTACCTCTTCAGGATTTCTTCAAAATTACCATGTTTCTCTCTGCCAGGGGTGAGAGTAAAGACAATAAAGAAATGATTACATTTTATGTAAAGAAAAAGAGTTTCATTATGTTCAGCTACTTTACTAGATGTAGCTATGGGCTGATGATTTTTGCCTTATGATGATCAATTAATATCTATTGATCTGAATTTGCTCAAATAAGGACAGAGGTATCTTATTGGCAACTGGTAGCACAGTGGATAGAGCACTGAGCTTGGATTCCAACCTCAGATACTTACTAGTTGTCTGACCCTAGGCAAGTCACTTAACCTCAGTTTTCTCCACTGTTAAATGGGAATAATAACAGCATTTACCTCAAAGGTTGTTGTGAGGATCAAATGAGGTAATATTTGTAAAAAGTGCTTGGCACAGTGACTGGAATATAGTAAAATGATATAAATGCTTATTCCCTTCCTGTCCCATCTTCTATTTTTTATTTTCAAGTTTTATCACTAACTTTCTTGGTGAGAGGCAGCATGGCATAAAAGATAGAGGGAAAACTTGGAATTAGGAGAAATGGGTTTGAATTGTACCTCAGATATTTGCTACTGATTATGGGCAAGTCATTCACTGTCTCAGAATCTCAGTTTTCTCATTTGTAAAATGGGGATAATAGTACTTGAGGTACCTACTTTTGTGAGCAAATCACTTTGCAATCCCAAAAGTACTATACAAATGAGTTATCATTGGTGATTCTGTATTACCTCACTGTTGTAGTTTCTCATGTAAGGAATAAAAGATATATTAATGCTGTGAAACTTTTGTCAGTCAACTAGAATTAGGTGCCACTCAATTAGCATTCAAGCTGTTAGGTGGCACAGTGCAGAAAGTGATGGAGTTGAAGTTAGGAAGATCTGAATTTGCTTCCTGTTCAAGGACTTACTAGCACTCACCTTAGGCAAGCCATTTAACTTCTCTGTGCCTCAGTTTGCTTATCTGTAAATGGGGATAATAATAGCACCTATCTCACCTTTTTGTTGTTGGTATCAAGTGAGATAATATTTGTGAAACACTTTGCAAACCTTAAAGAAGTATGTAAATGTTAGCTTTGCTGTTGCTGCTGATGGTGATGATGTACCTGCTATATGCCAGGCAATGGGGATACAAAGAAAGGCAAAAAACAGCTCCTTGTTTCCAAGGAGCTCCTAGTCTAATAGGGGAGACAGTATGCAAATAACTGTGTGTAAACATGATATAGACAGGATAAACTGGAAGTTGTCTCAGAAGAAAGGTACTATGGATAAGGAGCCCTGGGAAAGGTTTCTTGCAAAAGGTAAGCTTTAGCTGAGACTTGAAGGAAGCCAGGGAATTAAAGGTACTGTTAAAGGACTGAGTAAAATAACATGAACTCATTTTGGGGAACTCATTTGAACAGAGAACTATAAAATTCTTCTTTAATGCCTCATTTTGGGAATGGAGACTCTGGGTTATCAAGGCTATCAGTGGAGTGCAAGCTCTGGCAGCTTCCATCAAGTTGTAAAGGTTTCCAGAACTACCCAGCAAAGGATTATATTCTGAGGCCAATCCAGCTGAATTCAGAGTCTGGTCAACTAGAAGTTTGGGCACCAGGTGCTGTTTTTTTGGGGGGAGGGGGTTGTATCAACTCCTGAAATTGCCTTCTAAGGTAAAGAAAGGATATATCCACAGTTGATTCCACAGATTTTCTGAAGTATTTTAAATGAAGTTACTTATATTGAGTAAATTGTTAATTGAGGCAGACTTGAGTTTTGTTACATAGTGGGAGACAGATTATTAACTGTTTAATATTTTCATGGATAGCAGAATATTAATGTCCTTATAATTGCTACTGTGTGTTAAGATCAAAAATATAGGTTGGAAGGTATATCTAAAGTTAGGTTTAATATAAATATGAATTGTTTCAACCTGGTATAGTTTGTAGACACAATTTTAGAAAGTCACTGTTTACAGTTGTGTAAAATGTTCATTTTTAATGAAAGGTTTTTTTATGGTGTGACAGCAAGATGGGGTTTTCATAGCATAACACTATCAGCTGAAGTCTGTCAATTGTCTCAGGAGTTTCTGAGTTAGCAGTAATTCTTCCATTTGCCACTTAATTTACTGTCATCATTCTTTTAGGAATACATTGCACTCTTATAGCACCTTTTAACAGAGATCTGAAACATTTTACAAGTAAAGTAATTAATTAAAGTTCACAGCCTCTCGGTGAGTATAATTATAACCATTTTATTAAGGGGGAGGTGGGGGAAGACGGGCTTGTTGGAGAGGTTGAGTGACTTGCCTTAGGCTAAAGTTAGTCAATACTGAAAGTTAGAAGAGTCTCACAATAGTGGCTTCTTAGTCCCCAACAATTTCTTGTCTCGCTGCTAAATTACCTAGGCTGTAAATTGCTGAATCACAAAACGTTAGCAAAATAAATATACTGTATATGCGTCCTGGGTGAACCTCACTTCCTTTGCAAGCTTCCTCTTCGGTTCTATTTTTCTCCCTTCCCTTTCCGTCTTAAGGGGCTGCAATGCCCCATTCCTTCGGAAGAGGCTGGCAGGTCAGCGGCCATGGCTAGTTAGGAATGGGACACTTGGGCGTCACCAGCAATGTTAAAAGCTGGCAGGTGGAATGTCCTAGCTTTGGCTCAGGCTCCTAGGATCGTACCTCTATCCCTTTTTACCGTCTGCATGTGTGTGTGAATGTGCGCGTGAATGTGCGCGTGTAAGTATGAGTCGCCCTATGTCGGCCCCAGGGTTGGTTTGAAGAGGGCGCCTAGCTGTCCTGACGTTTGGCTATCATGTGAATACTTAGTTCCCATGGTTCAGTGTGTGCTCTTGCCCCACCCATTTCTCTGTGTCTCTCCTACTCTGTAGACCTCAGTGTATTAATATATGTGTGGGTACATATATATGTCTATATACACATACATACATAATCATATACACACAATATATCGGGAAGATAATTGAGCTAAGCATGAGGATAATAAAATAATTAGGGAAACTGACCTAAAGCCCCTACCAAAAAAAAAATCCTAGGGAAGCCGGCGTTGGGGCTGGGGGCTGGAAGTTGGGGGGGGGCTGGGCGGGGCGAGGGGAGAAGTCTGCTTTGGGAGACCCTCCCAGGGACTGGATGTGGCTCACAGTGGAGTGTGTGCAGAAGCCCTAGGAAGGATCAAGAGCCTAGAAATGTAAAGTGAAAAAATAAAAAAGAGGAAGGTGGGGGGTGGAGGACGGAGAGAGGCCTTGGATTGGAAAAACCACCATTAGAAGGAGGAAGAAGAAACCAGAGACAGGGAAGGAAAAAATTCACACACACACAAACACGGAGGAGGAGAAGGAGACCCCATTGCGCCCAGAAAAGGGGGAGGGGGGGAAGCAGAGAGAACTGGGCAACTAGAAACCCGGCCTGCGAAGGTTTTTTTTTTCCTGTTTTACCCCCACCCCCACTCCTGGTGGCCGTGTTTGCTCCATATCCCGGGTGGATTTGCTGAGAGTTATTTGGAGGAAAGCTGCATTTTGTTTTCGGAAGATTGGTGTCATATATATATGTATACATATGCATGTGTGTGTACATATATACATACACATATACATTTTTTTTTCCGGGGGGTTGGGAATCTTCCTCTCCCCGCCCCGAGCAAAAAGGAAAGGAAGAGAAATTGCCACCGAAGAGGAAGCGGCGGCCCGGAGTTGGATGTGTGGATGACTCTGGGGGCAAAAAGGGATTGATTTAAAAAATTTTTTTTTCCGCCCACCCAACCCCCACCCAGACCCCCGCGAAGACCCGCGGAGGGTGGGGGGAAGCTTTGCGGACTCAGGGGCGAGTTGGGGGGGGGCTGTGGGCCGTGTGTTGCTCAGGAAAGGGGTCGTCGCGAGTGGAAAGCCAAACACCCTCCCCCAGTTGTGGATTTTTTGCGGGGGGGTGCCTCTTTTTTTCCGCTTCTGCCGCCGCCGCCGCGGCCACGGGAGGGAGAGCGACTCCCCCTCGGGCGGCCCCGGGGATCGCTCTCGCCCTCGCCCTCGCCGCCGCGCGGAGAGAAGGAGGGTTCAGCGAGAGCGCTCAGGGCGGCGGCGGGGCCCGCGGCGTAGCCGGGAAGCGGAGGCAGCGGCGGCCCCAGCGGCAGCAGGCAGCGGCAGAAGCGGCAGCGGCAGCAGCCGCCGCCGCGGCGCCATCAGCCCCCTCAGCTCGACAGGGCTTCCACAGAGACGGGGGGCGGGGAGGCGGCGGCGGCCCCCGCTCCCCCGCGCCTGGGAGACGATACACACACGCACCCTCACCCACACGCAGACGCGCGCACTCTCACACACACACACTCACACACTGATATTTTTGGGTAGGGGAGGTTGATTTTGTGAGGTAATTTTAATTTTTACCTCCCCGCCCCCCCCGTCTCCTCGCCCCCCCATTCCTCCCAGTTCACCTCCCCACCCCGTGTTACATTTTTTTTCCCCACTTTCTTCGGGGTGGGGGCGGCCAGGCCGGGCCGGGCGGGTCTGACGGACCGAGGCCGCGGGGTGGGGGTGGGGTGGGTGGGGGTGGGGGGGCCGCCGCCGCCGCCGCCGCCGCCGCCGCCGCCGCCATGGGGTGCCTGGGGAACAGCAAGACGGAAGATCAGCGGAACGAGGAGAAGGCGCAGCGAGAGGCCAACAAGAAGATCGAGAAGCAGCTGCAGAAGGACAAGCAGGTCTACCGGGCCACCCACCGCCTCCTGCTGCTGGGTAAGGAGGGCGGAGGCAGGGGGGCACCTCGCCCGTCCGGCTCGGCCGGGCCCGCAGACTCTGCTCCCTACCTCCCCTCCCCTATCGCCGAGAGAAGGGCCCGAGCCGCCGGCTGCTGGGGGGGGGGCGCGGTTCTCTTCGGGGGGGGCGTTGGGCGATGTTCGATTCGGGGTAGGGGGGAGGCAAAGACCTTGGGGAGGGGCTGGAGGCGGAAGGAGGGGCCTAGGAAAGCGAAATTGGGGAAGGGGGTAAGGCGAAAGGAAGGTGGAGGGATTGAAGGAAGGGGACGCCCCCCGGACCCCCACCTTCTGGATTACTTTAGCCGCCTAGGTGAAGGGGGGGAGCTGGAGCTGTGACTCTTAAAAAAAACCGCAATTTTTTTTTTGTTGGTGGGGTGGGAAGAAGAGAGGAGAGGTGTGTAAGATTTCGACGGGGCTTGGGGAACAGGAAACGGGGTGTCAAGGCGTGAGGGTGTGAGGGGGAACCCGCCATCTGAGAGAGGTGATTGGCTAGGGAAAGGGGTGTCACTTGGGGGCGCCGTGGAAGTGAGGGGGGCTAGGAAGAAGAGGATTTGACAAGGGAAATGGCTGTTTGTGAATGGGAGTGGAGGAGAGGGGGGGAGTGAAGGCGGAAAGACTGTGACATAAGGGCCCAGATAGGGATTGGAATAATAAAGGTGTTGGTTTTTCCTGACTGAGGGGTGAACAGGCTGCTCTGGGCTGGAAAAAAGGTGTTTAGAGCAACTTAGTGCATTTTATTGTAGGGTGCCGTATGTGTCCTGAGGGCGATATGTACATGTATGTACGCACAAGTATGTATGTGTAACTAACTATATACGTATATGTACACACATAGTTGTGATCTTTAGGGAACGGTACAGGGTTAATGATGACAAAATCACCATTTTCTTTACAACCTGATTTCCCGCACCAAAATATGCAGTAATTTAAAAGCAAATGCCAGCGTTGGTTGTAGGAGCAGGTGAAGCTGCCCCCCCTACCCCCAACAAGTCAGTTCTTTTAAAACATAATTTTTCTGTTATTTGGGTCACTTATAACGGACTTGGCAAAAAACAAAACTGAGTAAAATTGAAACATGAAGTTTTGTATTTAAAAAGATTGTTTCCCTACCCCAGGTATTATTTATAAGTCAGAAGAAGAAATTGTATATTTCAAATGCATGATTTATCTTGATGATTATTTCCCTTTGATGAAAGGGGTTAATTCTTGTTAACTTTTGGGAGAATATCATCACTATTACTACTTTAATTTCTTTTTTGAAGAGAGGAAGAGGCCTAAAACAAATTGTAGACATGATTAGGAGAATTACACAAGCATGCATTAGGATGGAAGTTTCCTATTTAATAATAGTTTTTTTTAAAAAATACAGTTAAGTATCTACTCACTTAAGAACTGGAATGCCTTTTCCCCCCTGCTTCCCAAGGTAATTAACATTTCAAAAAATCAGATTGGTGTAGTAACACTTTTTTAAAAAATATGCTTATTTTCATGGCCTACCTTTTTTGCTATTCAAGTCCAGATGTTTGTGAAAACCAAAAATTCTTAGCTTAAGAGATAAAATATTTTTGTTGTTATTTATGTGCAGTTTTTGAATCAGTGTTTCATTTTTTGAATTACATGTTCCATAATGGTAGGACTTTATCATATGTGTTAATATGTATATTAGCAGCATATATTCAAAGAATAAACCTTAAAAGTCCTAGGATCTGCCACTGACCTATGAAAGTTAAGTAAAGAGTGATTTGTTTAAGGATAGAGATACTTTTTATGTGGAATTTTGATTACAAGAGCCCAAGCTGCCGGCATAATTTGTCTCAGAATCTAAAAACTGTACTGCCTATGGGCAGTAAGTTGTCCCATAGGTGAATATTTTGAAGGTGTTCTATTCCATGACTATATTGTGATTTGACATGGTATATGGTTCAAAATTAACAAATAGTATTCTCCAAATTATTCTTAAATAATCCATATGATGTATTTATGTTAATGTTTCTAAGTTATGACCATACACATTCCTAGTAGTTCCTCTTTTCTGGTGCTGTTTCATCAATATTTTTTATATTTTGACATGTTGGCCAGAAGTCCCTAAGGTACATTATCCGCTTGGAAAATTTTTTCATAGAGAGTATTTTTAACTCTTACAGATACTGATTAGTGGGTTGGTAAAAAGGGAAGAAGAGCAAGAGGCCTTGGGGTCAGGGTAGTTAAAGGTTGAACAGGTTTGTGTGGGAGGGCAAAAAACTGTCAATGAAGAAACTCTGGTTGGCATGTGTATACTACAGAAAGCAAAATTTAAAAAAAACACCTCATCTAGGTTAGTAGAGAATAATTCTTCAACATAATTGCACTTTGTAAATTGAAAGAGATTTTCAAAATGGAGGCATCTTCAGGGTCTAGAATCCTTGAAATACAGTGGTTTCCAGGAGTACTTTTCCTTCTTATGATCAAAGTACAGAATATGTCTCTCCCTCCCCACCCCCTTAATGGATGCTCCAACCTAACATTAATGTAATTCTTGTGAAAAAGTATTGAGTTTGGTACTAGGAAGGGAACTTTGGGCAGGAAGACAATGAATGAAGGAAATAAGAAAGAAAATCTTTGACTTTTAACTGGAACATTGATGTCTTGTCCAGAAAGATCTAGACCAGAAGCCATAGTTGTTTTATTTATTGGGTAGCTGGTGGAAGAGTGGGTAAGTGGATGGATGTTGACGTGTTAGAGGTAAATTCCTATTGTAACCCAGAAGTAGAGAAATAAATAAAGTGAGAGGCTGTTTTCTGAGGTACTAATGATTAAAATGTAGCATTTCAAGTGTGTGTGGAGAGAACTGAAGTTATTAGACTTTGTTTTGGAGGAGCAACTCCTGGATATTTTAACTGTTATATATCTTTTCCCATATATCTGTATGTGAGTTTTTATATAAATTCATATGTATCATACACACATACATTTTTATTTAATGATGATGTGCTAAGGGAGTAGTTTCAGAAATTAACTTTGAGTTTTCCCTAAATGACAAAACCATCCTATTCTTTTTCTATGCCACTTCTCTATCACAGTTTAAAAAAAATCCTTTTTTTTTTATCCTATGACAAATTGATGGTGAGATACTTGAAGAGGACCCAGAGCTAATAATTACTTCAACTATGCACTTGTTTTAATTTACATTGCAACTGGAGTTTCAGGGAGGATTACTGTTAATGTCTCCATTATTATTTTTTAATCATGTGTATGGAAAAAACAGCCCTATGTGTCCTGAGTGTCTTTTCGAGCTTCCTGCATAAACTGATTTACTTTCATTTTCTAGGTGCTGGTGAATCTGGTAAAAGCACAATTGTAAAACAGATGAGGATCTTGCACGTCAATGGATTTAATGCTGAGTAAGTGCCTTCATTCCTTAGTCCTATAATATATTTAGTAACAGTTATATATTTTGTACTTTTACAGGATGTACAAAAATGTTTATGAGACTGAGTAGCCAGATAGAATTAAATTTACTAGCCTACATTAAAGAATTAGTCATCTTTTTTTCCTGCATCTCATTCTTCTTTCTTTCTTTTTCCTTCTTTCTTCCTTCCTTTCTGAAACAAAAGCAAAATCACCAATGGTTTTGTAAAAATCTTTTCAGGTTAAATATATTTTAGTTGGAGGATAGTTAACTCTAAAAACACTTAGCCTCATGATAACCTTGGTCATATCAAGGTTTTGTGTAACAAACTTGAGCATAAGTTTTTGTTGCAGTTTCTTTCACAACATAGCTGATAATAATTTACCTCCTCTATGTCACATTGATTCCTCAAGTTGTCAACATTGTTTTCTGGTAGATTTCAATGTGGAAAACAGTACAGTTTTTAAATGTTAGTAAGGAAACTTTGTTTCAGTATCATTTTCATATAAAACCTTTGGGTTTATAAGGTATGTGAGGCCTTGTTAAATATTTTTCATTTTGCGGCTAAAGTTATTTGGTTGAATATTTTCATACATGTATTGACAAATTTCAGTTGAATCTTTTGATGATTAAGTTGAAGAGAGCATTAAGCCTGAAAGTCAGTTCTTATTGCCAGTTAATCTATTTATAGAATCTTTAGATCCTACATTGTCATGGTTGCATTATGTGACTTGCCTTTTACTTATTCTCCATTACTATTATTTGTTTAACTTGGGTCAGAAAAAAATTCTTTGCATAAAATCTTCATCTTTCAAAACACTAGGGAAAGTCTTTCCTGTTTGCACTTGGTGTCTATAATAAAGTATCTTGATATTCTGAAAATATTTGAAAGAAGTATTGAGATAAACATTAAAATGCTAATGTCATTTTAAATAATTGTCATTTTTCAAAAGTTTTTGCTTATATTGCTCGTTTAATTGTGGTTATATTTCGACTGTTATGATAATTATAATAATAATGTTTAGGATGTCTTTTTTTAAGGACGTTTGGAACATATGTGAGAAGCTATTACTACTTTCTTAGCATAGAGTGGATATACCAAAAAGTTTGGTGAACTTTGTAGTTAAATAGCTTTTTAAAAAAATATGAATTTACTACCAGTTGTCCTGATTTTTGGAAAAAGATTTTAATTCATAATTTTCTCAGAAGTCTGGCATAATACATTTTAACTTGTAAGGAGAGTTAATGCTTTCACTTGAGAGACAGCATTTCCTTTATAAAATTAGTACCAAGAATATTCAAAACATTTGTAAGGATTAAAATGAGATATTCCTTATGTACTTCTAGGAGTTTATCTAGTTTTCTTTGGCTGTAATGGAAATTCAAACTAAGCATAACATGTGGAATGACGGAAAATGTGTAGGGTATTATTTTATTATTTTATTATTCATCTTGCTGAAAAAGAGTGGGATTATAGAAATGTAATCTATATATTACCTTTCTCCCAAGAATACAAAATGTTTTCATATATGTCATTCTGTTATCACAAAATATGTTAGGAACAGAGGATGACTCCCACTATTTTATAAATAAGGCAGAGAGGTTTTTACAGTTGAAGGTTAAATAACTTACCCAAGTAATACAGAAAATCAGTGTCATTGTCAGGATAAGGAGTAATCTGCTGACTCATTAAACTACCTAGTCTTTCTTTAAGCCAAAGCATAATTTATCTCTCCTTGTAAAATAATTAGACTTAAGCATAGAATTTTAAATGTATAAGATAATAAAGTGATGTATTTAACTAGATGTAGTTTAGAATTTAGGATTATATTAGTGTTTTGTTTTTATACATTAGTAGTTTGTTTTGATGCATTTATAAATATTGGAGATTAACAAAATAGTTTTATAAATGCATGCAAAAATGCTGGTTTGAAAAAAACAAAAAGGAGATATTTTAGCAGTGGTTGTGTGACTTTGTGAGGTGAGCGTGTGTGTAGTATATGGTGACAGAGTTAATTTTGGCAGCTCAGTAGCCTACCAAGTTGACTACATTGAAATTCTATATAAACAAAAATGATGGTGCTTCTACTGGTGAAATAGAAGAAATTCAACAAAGGTATTCTATTTGTCAGAAAATTTTTGTGGCTTAAATCACAATTATTTTTGTAGCCCTGATAAACACTTCAGTGTCCTTTATTGATGGGTTACTGCTCTGACAGTTTCATCTTAGAATTCATAACTACATGTGTTGTATGCTGTTCTGTTTTAAAATAGTCTTAAAGCGTCCACAGGCCTCAGTTTTCTCATCTATAAGATGAAGGAGTTGGTTGGATTAAGTGATCACCAAAGTCCCTTCAAACTTTAAATCTATGATCCCATGATTCTTTCATAAATGTCTTTTATAGGGAGGCAGTATTGTGTAATGAGAAAAGTTCTGCACTTGGAGTCAGAACTGGGTTTGTGTCATGATTCTGACATCTCACCTGGAGGATGAATATGCAAATGAACCTCAATTTCTTCATATTTAAAACAAGGATTATAATACTTCCATTGACTACCTTCTAGAGTTACTGTGAGGAAAGTGAAATGTAGATCTAAAAGTACTATGTACATATGAATTATTATTTGTATATGTCTGTATACAATTTTTAATATTTTAATCAGTTACATTAGTGTGTTTAAGACCCAGGATTTTATAATTGAAGTGCATATTTTTAACAACCTAATATACCAGATGATTAAATTGACCATCTAGTACTCTCCTAAATACATCCAATTTTATATTTGAAGTTATGATGTATATCAAAAATCATAATATATCCAGTTGCCTGTTTAGGGTGCTTCCAAAACTGTCATTAAACTTGTTAAATTCTTTAAAATAGAAAACGCCCTTTTGAGTTTAAAATAGTAGATTTGCCTTTGTATTTTTGATGTGACTGATTATTTGACTCACAAAGGTGAGAAAGTAGGTGTTATAAGTAGGTAGTATAAGTTAGCAATCAGACCTCAGATTGAAGCTTTGTTAACTACATGGCAACTACAGACTAATTTAAGTTTTATATTAATTCCTCTCTATCTCTGAATCCTATGATCCCAAGTCATGAACTTGAGACTTCTAATATTGCTTGTAAAGAGCTAAACAAACAAAAAACAAATTATAACCTTCCCCTCCCTCCCCCCAAAAAACACAACCCATAGTACTGTGCATACACTGTAATGAACTATGAAAGAATATTGCATTTAACGATGTCCATGTGTATTGCTTTAGGGTGATTTCAAATGTGATTCAACATTTTAGTTATTTTGAGGTCTGTACTTATTGTGACTATAACAATTCATTGCAAAGTCAGTGCATTTCATTGAATTTCAAAGGTTAAAAATAATACTACATTCTCATGACAGAATCATTTATTGAAATTCTAGAATTTATTGAATGAATTCACATACAAATCAAACACATTAGGAGCCATTTACCCCCCCTCCCTTTAAATAGTATATATTAGATAACTTCCAATTGTTTGGATCTTTAGTCTTAAAATGAGGAAGATTAGTCTACCTGAGTTGGTTGACCTTTTTCTATTTTATGAATGACTTGGAATGAGTCATAAATACATACATTTATGAGTTTACTGTGCATATATGTTGTTAATAAGTTACCTACACTTGTCACAAAATGATTCTAAAATACTTAATTCTTGACACATTTATGAAAATTTTACAGATGTTATTATCGGTCAACAAGTAAAACATCCTGCAGTGTTATATATTTCAAAATACATTACTGCTTCAATTTGTTTTTTATAGTCTATGTGTATGTTTCAAGGGCTGCTATATGGGAGGGATTAATCTTTGAAGTTGGCTCATTTTCATTACAATTTCTAGAAGTTGCAAAAAATATATACTTTAGACTTTAGTCTTTAGAGTATAAAAGAGGATAGTTATCATGTGAACATGGAAAAAAGGGCTTACTTGTTTGAGTTCTAATGTACATTAGCCAGGATACTATTGACAAAACTATAACTTTTATGAACTAAAATGTACTCTACATATTTATGAACTTTCAAAATTAGGTTTTTTTTGTAGACTGTTCAATTCTTGCTCCTTGCGTATTATTAAGATGTAAAAGAATAAAGACAGAATGGGGAGAATTGTACAGAATGTGGGAGTTAAAGTACTATGTTAACAAAAGCCAGGCCTGTCAGAATATCTTGTCAGTTTGTTGTGTTTTTATTTTTGTTTTTTTTTTTTTGCCAGAAATAGAACTAAGTATCAGAGTCCATCTTCAGAGAAAACTGAAAATAGTTGTTTTTGGTCATTGGGTAAAGTAGTTGGGTGTATGTTTTTTCTTTTTTGAGACAATTTTAAATATAGTCAATGATTATAAACTTTATGAGACAAACTATATATTCCCCAGAATTACCAGCACTACTACTATTTTTTAAAAGCTTAGAAATTTTGCTTTCCATAAGATTCTGAAAATTTCACTTCAGTTTTGTAATTTATAGTGTCTGTTAAAGTAATATGCAATAAAAAGAGAAAAGTACTGAAATGGACTTTGGATGCTTTAGCCATGAAGGAAAGTTCATTTTAGTTTTAACTTTTGCCCCAACACTTGACAGGGCGATGTCTTTTTACAAGGTTAGTTAAGCAATAATAATCTACAGTGTACCCATTGGGTAAATATTATGATTAAAACTGGGTACTGCATTCATTTTTAAAGGATGCAGCCATTGTTTACTAAAGTTTTTTTTGTCTTAGTTTGGTAGGCAATTACACATATTTTATTTATTAATTATACATTTATTTTACACATTGAATTTTCAAAAGTTTTTGTTTGGAGTTTTTTAAATGAGAAGTATATTGATTTTTAATTTTTAGAAAATCAATATAGATGAGCTCTTCTGTGGTACAGATAAGACATTTAAGCCACAACTTCTCTTTTCTTCTATTTTTAAAAAGAGGAAATGAAATCCCCAGCCTGGTTCCTTTGTG